GTTGAGTTTTGTCATACTTTAGTTTTGGCTCGCTAGCCGCTGTCATTGTGCTGACTCTCAGAGGAGGGTGGGTGTGTGTGTGTGTGCGTGTGTGCATATACGTGTGTGTGTGTGTGTGTGTAATACCAGTTTAAATTGTGTTTTACTGTTTTATACTCAAATCTGGGTTTCTTCCTATGCCATTAAAACCTAAGGCAGACATGTAGGATTGTAGACCTCCCTGAAAACCACTAATTCTTCATTTTACTGGGATTTTACACACAATATAAGCTAACGCTTACAAACATCTGTTTACATCTGTTTACTGGCTGCAATACTTTGTTGTTTAAGTTTAACTGGTGAAATGTCAAATCCCAGCTCTTCACGAGCGCTGTGTGTCTTGAGAGTTAAAGCCAATGTGGCAACTCAGTCTGAATTCAGTCGATGCTTCTCTTGTAAACGTTCTTTACTGTACAGCTCATGCTAAAAAACCTACTTGACAGACGGGTCTGTAAAATTTTTAGATGTAAACTTGTAAAAAAAAAAAAAACTGACAACACCTACACAACACGAGAAAAAATAAAACAACAATAGTAAACATGGAAACGTTTTCATACGAGAAACGAAAGGCAGAGCAGACCACGGGTATTAGCCTTAATCCTCCGAGGTTAGATAATATAAGCTAACAGCATTGTGACTCAACTTTAGTTTATTTGAAGGTCTTAGCATGAATCTTGTGTGGCTAGCTAATATAAGCTAAGAGCATCGCTACTAAACTTTAGTTTATTGCAGTCCCAAAGGTAATAGCATGAACCCTCTGTGGCTAGCTAATGTAAGCTAAGAGCATCGCTACTAAACTTTAGTTTATTGCAGTCCCAAAGGTAATAGCATGAACCCTCTGTGGCTAGCTAATGTAAGCTAACACCACCTCTATTCAACTTTAGTTTATTTAAGTCCCAAACATACTGATGGAGTCATTGCTTTGAGATCAAGTAGTTTTAGTGCTGGTTTTAATTTGAGCAACTCCTGGATGTTGCATAAAATTATGAGCTAAAAGTCTCCAATGGCTCGCTGTTGGGATTTAGAAGCGTGGATGTCATTTCTTTGGTCATCTTGATGTGGGATTTCATAGCTAAGCTTAAGACTCACTGTTGATTAAAAGAGGTTTCATTGTTTTGGATCTTGCTTATGAATTTAGACTGCGTCGCGAATGCCTTTTATTTCTTTGTGTGATGTGGCTGGATAGTGACACTGTTGGGCTTTACGACTCGTAGCCCTGCTGCTTTAAATACTCACAGATTGCTTAAAGGCAAAGCGAAAAAACAAGTTCTAATTGCCCTGAGTATATTCCAATTTTATGAAGCTTGCAAAGAAATTATTTTGTAATAATGTAGTGTTTTAAAATGTTTGGCTCTGCTGCAGCTATACCAGGCTGCTTTTAAAGATGTAAAATGACACCATGTCGCTGTGTAAGAGTGACAAAAATATCCTTGTGAAAGGGAAGAATCAAAACTACACAGAGACAGTGAGATATAACTGAAAATCTTAAAATATACTCTTTGTCAGTGATTAGAGTGAGGAGAGCATGAGGAAGGAATCGAGGGTATGTAAATTTACAGCCCTCATTAGCAGCTCTACAAGTTGCCGTATATAACGTGTGCGCAGAAAATGTCTCATTCAAAGCCGAAAGGGATTTATTTTCACTTGACAAATGCGCTGGAGGGGGGAGAAGCTGTTAACATGTGAGTTTTAAAGAAGTAAAAAGAGAGGAAAGACGAGCTGAGGAGAAAAAAAAAGGCGAACAGATAGAAGAGAGGATGTTTGTGTTTCTTCTTCTGCGTGCCCATGTAAGCCTCATGTAATTGCAGGGTGGGGGCAGGAATGGAAGTGGTGGGTGGGAGTAAATATTATCTTTTCAACCATCTCTGCCCCGGCGTGACCCCGCCCTGTTCACGCACGCCTCCTGTACCGCCAGGAGCCCCAAATCCCTCAGACTGCCAGCCTAAGCAGTACACACGTCCACACACACACATATAAACAGAGACGGATTAGATGGACAGATTCACAGCTACACACCCTCTCTCTCTCACACACACACACACACACACACACACACACACACACACACAGCCTCGTATTCTATCACACTTGTTTTCCTTCTTGCAGCATGTCTTATGCGCAAAGACGTGCATTGCTATGAACACTTCATGGTGATTCTGCAGCTCAAAATGCAACAAAAGGTGAAAGACCCACTGTGTGTGTGTGTGTGTGCTTCCCTCTCTCTGTAATCTGACTGGAGTTGAGTTTCTCCAGCACTCATTCCGTCGAGCTTCCTTTCAAAAAAATAAAATAAAAAAATCCATCTTTTCTCTCTTTTCGTCTTGCTCTCCATTCCTCCATCCCCCTACAGTTTCTTTTTTTTTCCCCTTCACTATTTTGTCTTCCTAATAACTCCTCCTCAGCACTGTAGGTGGAACTCATCCATATCAGTCAGTTAACCCAGCACTCAGTCTCTGGAGAAATCAGTCAGCGGGTAGGGATAATCCCACTTGTTTCCACCTCACACCAGCCAGAGTTAGAAATCTTTTACCAGGCGAAATTGCAGTGGAGCATAAAAAGGGTTTTGTGACGAGGGGTTTTTAATTGGTCAATAAGCGGAGCTGTACTCAAAAGAGAGGAAAGTTAAACCACAATTATCACACGTAGAGAACTAGCCTGGTAAAAAAGCAGCCCCCTGTTCTACACTTTGCTTCTGAACACATTGCTTGCTAAAGGTTAATCACTAACATTTACCTGTGACGACTGCGAGGCGCCAACTTGACGCTATGCAGCTTACCAGAAATGGCTGCGCTACAATCAACCACTCTCCACTGCAAAGAGAGAAGTGCAGGGTCAAACTATATATCTGTTAATGTTAATTAAATATTTGGAAGTGTGGCTAACGCGGACTGAGCGGCTTCTTTCACTTCCTCCGTGGCCGTTGCTAAAGCTACAGGCAGACTACAATTCTAAAACATTGCAGAAAATCAATGTCATCATTCACAACTTCTCCTTCTGTTTGCTGATTGGCCCGGTTGAAATTCTACTGGTGACAATCCAAGTGAATGGGAGAAATCCCAAACGAAGCACTGAAGGGAGATGATTTGGATCCTATAACCTATCGGCAGCAGTTGAAATATGTTGGTCATAACACCACAAACACATGATCAACTTTAAGCCGTATCAAAATGCATGCAGCCTGTTTGTCTTCTTTGTAGCGTGTTTGCATCGATTCCTTCCATACGCAACGTTGAGCGAGTGTGTCATCGTTTCCCCCACTAGGCCTCAGTCGTTTTTATAAGTCCACGCTGGCTAAAAAGAGCCGGCCCACTGTGTGTATGCCAACGCTGACTTTTCTTTGTTACGATGGAGAGTTTTTACCGCAAACTCTCAACACCCTGTTGATTGTTTTCCCCCCCGCACCCTCACTCGATCTCTCTCATTCCCTTTTTTACTTTTTTCTCTCTTTCCTCCAACCACAACACTGCAGAGGACTGTCAAATAAACCCTTGTGCTAAAGGAACACGGCTGTGAGAAGAAAAAAAAAGGAAAAAGACGAAGAAAAAGAAGAAGAAAGTAAAGGATTTCATGAGTGGCTGGTAGTGGCACGAGAAAGGTTTTGAATTCACCCCACTGCTCTGTGAGTACAGGTGAAACCGGAGCTCTCTGTGAAAATGCCATGAGAGGATTTCAGGTTCATTCGGAATAAAAAAAAAAGCCACTGCAGACAAAGGAAAAAGTGCATAAAGACACAGAGCGGAGAGCTGAAAAAGAAGGAATAGATACGGGATAAAAAGGTGGGATAGGTGCAACAGAGAGGTGAGAAAAGTATAGCCTTTTCCCTATATTCTTTCCATTCTCTTTGCCTAATCCCCAGGAGAGAGAGACAGAGAGAGAGAGAAGGCAGCACTTCTCCTGTGGAAGGATTAAAAAAAAAGAGGACTTTTTATACAGCTTGCAACAATTGGCATTGTTCAGCAAAGAACGCCGAAATGTGGCTGCAGAGAAGGGCTGAGATAAAGAGTGTGAACGCAGCGGAGTGCAGGATTAGACTGATGTATTGTCTTATGGAGGGTCGATGCCAGCCTCTTTATCAAAGGCCTGAAACCATCCACCTCCGACATAATGGAGAAAGTTTCCTGGTTTGCTGTAATGGAACACCGCTGTGTGATTATGAGTGTTGAGTCAGATGCATGGATCAGCCCAGTGGCGAGATGGAGGATTCTCCTAATTCAATAAGTCAGCCCAGTAACTCTCAGGGTACGCTCCCGCTATTTGATTTCTTTTAGCACAAACTTTTAATATGATAGCAGGGATGAGGGAATCTACGCTAGTTTTTTTGTCTTGAGTTATCCTCAGCTTCTATACACTTTACGTCTAAGGGACAAAACTTTTATGGTTTTATATTCCAGTCGTCCAAGATTTATGGAGCTCTGTCAAAATTCAGCTAAATTTTGACGTTGTAAAACACCAAGCTTTAGAGGTCCTGAGTAAATTAATGAGGTATTGTTTTGAAGATCATCACAACAATCAGGCACATATGTCATGTCTGAGGAACCCATGATTACTAGCAGCCAGTTAAAAAAAAATTAACTACTTCTTTATATGTAAATTAGGGCTGAAACGATTCATTGGATTAATCGTGATGGATCAATTATTGATGTAATTATTTTGTAATCGGTTAATCATTAACTGAAGAGCACAGACTCCAAAAAAAGGAGATTTTCATTAGCTACATGCCACAATTAATATGTCATCATAAGAGGCAAAACAAAAACAAAACTTTTCAATGACATGTGAGCTCACTGAGACGTGTGTGTCCTTGGGATAATCAGCACGTCTTCATGTAGTCAGTTTTCCATTGACTGGAATAAAGTCAAACTTTGAAGACATTCAAGGCCTGAGTAAACGTAAACCTCCAATTCCAAAATAAATCTAATATTGGAGTCAGCGGGGATTTTAACATCTGTAAGCTCACTCACCTTGGTATCGAACGGTCTTGCGAGGGACTGGGTTCCAGTTAAGCGCCGCTGACCTTTCCCATCCAACCAGCAACATCAGGAGTAAGACCCTCGTCCCACCCATGGCTGCCGAGTCAGCTCCGGTTTGCTGGACCTGTGGCTCGGTGATGGACAGAGGGACGGATGAGTCGGCGGGCTGCTGTAGACAGACAGAGACCACAACAACACATCAGATGGGAGCTGCTATTTACTTCCTTTATTGCCTTGGTTGTATATCAGAAGCCCCTATGTGGGAGTGGCTTTTACGCCATTTGCGTTTTTCAAGAGGACGGACAGAACACAAATTCAAGCTGGGAAGAAAGATAAATTCCTCCTGTTTTAAAACAGACCCTATAAAACTCAACAGAAGAGTAAACCAGAAGTGAAGGATGTAAGTGCTTGAAAGGACACTCGTAATGCGCTTCCATGTTTGTGCTTCCCTGCCAAGACAAACAAACTACAACATTCAAAGAAGTTTTGGCCGGGGAAATCACGCAGGAAAAGTTCTCCCCACCACTCCCTCATGTTGAGCGATAATCTAGCTATCGGCACTCAAAAAAACAGCTTATTGCTGCACTCTTGTAAGGCCAATTCAGCAGCGGTATATTAAGCTAGAGCTGAGTTATCAAAGTTAATTGGCACTGGCAACGCATCAAACACCAACGTGTCAGGAGATGAATGTCGAGGCAAGGACAATCCAATAGAACGGTGTTGTAAATGAATTGGTTTATATCTAATGAACATGTCAAAAAGTGCTGCTAGAAGGCGGCATTACGGCCTAATGACGGCTCGGGGTGAGCGGCTTGTTACACGGCGCTGTGAGGGAGACGAGGCGGAGGTGGGGTAAGAGCAGACAGGAAGTTAAATTACTAAAAATACGAGAAAAAATCTGCATTAATATTCACAATTTTCTCACTGATTCAGTCCTAATAATTAATTAGCCCTTTATTTCCCACTGAATTGCTATGAATTACTTCTTTTTTAGGTAACTGTATAGCTATGACTGCATGGAAGAGCGACAATAGCCCCACAAACACAAATCCTGCTCTTGAAAAACATTCCCATGTGCTTCTTTAGGACACCAGTCGCACAAAGAAGTACATGCATCACTAAATTGCACACAGTAACTGCATCCAAACCCCCACAGCTTTAGCACAACACTCAGGAGGACCATGGCAGCACAGATAGACAGTGCGGAGGCAAGGAATGGTGTCCCGTCAGACCATCAGTTCCCGAAACCACACACATACACACACAAAACAATAAAAGCGTTAAATCGCAGTGTGACCCCGCTGTACTGCACACAGAGTAAACATATAAAATGTATTGATATTTATGAATGCTTTCACTGAACAGCGGCTAAACTAGTTAAACTAACAATCCTGACAATACAGACAGTTTAGTTTTTTTTAAACATCATTTTTTGGAATTAATGTGACACAATGAATGAATGATAAATCAACCCCAATTTCCTTAATTTTTTTTTTTGGAGATTGGATCTCGTCAATCAGCTAACACTTACATGATAAAACGATTTTATCTGCCTATTTTATCTACCTCCGCAAAAGTGTGTAAATCAGCCCTGTTATCCCCCCTGTTATTAATAGTTAAACCACTGTTGCCAACTTAGCACTTTTTGTCGCAATATTTAGTGGCTTTTCAGACAAAAACAAATTGGTACCAGCACAAATCTGAAGTCAGGCTGCATAAAAATCGGCAATCGGTGCGCCCCGAATACAACGTCACTGACTCCTGTAGCTGCTTATGTTGAGTTGTATTGAGAAGTATTTAGAAAACGATTCTGTTTTTTAAGACATGGAGAACAAATCGGCAGATTTTTATCGTAAAACTCGTAAGACTTCAAAAAGCACATAAGAACTTTCTAAAAAAGCCATCTTTCGTAATTGCACCACTTTGTTTAAAGTGCACCGAGGTCCTAAAAGGAGGAATATTCCATCCACTGCAACCACTTAGGACTGCAACTAAGTATAAAGTAGCAAAACTGTTCATGGAGAAGCCTGTATTTATCTGACAAACTCACTTTTAAATGTCACTTTTAAGTGCTGAGGCACCGCACGAAAAAGCCTGTTTGCTTCACTTCCACTTAAACTGCGGCAGAAACCTCAGAGGTGGACGTCTCAGAAGCTTACGTACGGGACACAGATGCAGATCAATTTAGACAAAAAGCCTTCAAATGAATTCTTCTTCTATTATAGTGGCATATAAATTCCTAAAACGTATAGGAAAAACAACCTTGCTCAGACCTGAGTTAGGAAACGAATGTCTTAAACATGACACGCCACCTGTAAGCTTCCCCCCCTCTCTCTGCACCTGCTCACTAAGTTAAATGACGTTTCTGACAGTAGGAGATCACTGAAGGGGGTGCTTTACTTTTTGGACAGGCAAACGTCAGACTTTAACTAGAAAAAAAACAAAAAAACAAACAGGAAGCACAGAATCAGTACGTGGATTTGAACCGACAAACCCGCTTTTCCTCGTCCATTCCCACATGTGAATATTAAATTTTGACCCTGGAAAACAAACATTTACTCTCTTTGGTGGATTGGCAGGGGAGTTAATTGAAATTCAGAAATGTGTGTGTGTGTTGTGTTGTGTGGGGGCGTTCGAACATGTTTGTGTGCCTACGCCCAACCTGTGAGGCGGGTATTGATTATATTTTTGAGCTAAAACAAAAACAAAACAAAACAAAAAAAAAGAGACAGAGGGAGAAGCCTCCCTTTCTTCCAATCCTCCTCCCCCCTCTTCATCTCCGCATCAGATCGCGGCGACGTGCCGTTAAACGACCGTGCTTAAACCGCTGGATTTGGGTGAAAGCTCTGCGAGCCTTGCAGTGCGGGCTGCTAGCTTTATTGGATCGATGCTGATGGCCTTGCCGGGCAAACGCTTGAGTGAGCGGAGGACGGATTGAGAAGACGCAGCGGTGAAGGGATGAGAAAAGCAGAGAGATGGAAAAGACGTTCAAAGAGAAGGAAAAAGCCTCCTCCCTCTTCATCTGCTGCTTCGCCTTAACGCAGGGACCTAATAAAGCGTGGAGGTCTTCCGGAGGGGTAGATCATGTGAAGAAGCGGCATGCTAATGCTCCAGGGCAAAGTGAAAGTTTTGTCTGTAGAAAAACTCTAGATCTCATCATGCCCACTTGGGCCTTTGTACTTTCTAGAAATGGATGTTTGTCTGCATGTTTACTCGCTACTATGATCCATAACTTTTCTTAACTGAGTGTGAGTTTAGAAAGGTACTGAGAAAGGAAAACTGGATTCACTAACTAAGTGACTTCTTAAGGCAATTGGTTGCACTTAACTTTATAAAGGGGATCAGAGTAAAGTGGGATGAATGCAGTGTGCAGATTTCAGATTTTTTTTGTAAAAAAACAAAACAATTTTCAATCCTCTGTGCTAATAAGTAACATATTGTGTTGGTCTACCACATATAAATCTCAAGAAGGAACAAAAACGTCTGTAGTTTTAGCTGTGGTGTTAACATATTAATTTCCACTATTTTTTTTCTTTCTATATACAAAAGTTCCCGCCAGAACCTTCGTTTTCATTTGTTTCTGGTATGACCGTAAGTCTGACGCACAAAGTCACATCCGCAGAAATAACAGTGATGGTTAACAAAGACGCTTCTCTTGCCTCACTTGGGGCTAAATTTTGCTTCAAAAATTGACCCAATGTGACACTGGGAAAGACTTAAGTTGTGCTAAAAGGAGTTAGCCTGTTAGTCGGTGAAGCTAAGATAGCATGTCAATGCTAAACATGCAGCAGTAATGACGGCAACATCCGCATTTCTAAAGAAGTATTTTTTCAAATTAGTTTTATCTCGAGTTCCTGAAACACTTGAAAACTGAGTGAGTAGAATAAGCACTTTCCACCAATCTGATGGTTGAATAGCTTAAATAAAACATAAAAAACAATAAATATCTTTGTTGTTGAGCTCATATGTCTATTTATTGAATAATAGCAGCAAAAGGGGTTTTCAAATTAAGATGCTTATTTTGACTATATATAGTTTTCAATTAAAATGTGATTCTTTCCGATGGCTTAATTACAGATCCTGCAATTAACTCCCACCACAAACACTAACATGAAAAAATGTGGAAATATTGAAAGGTTGTGAGTGTTTATATAAGGCGCTATAATAATGGTTCCCTGCTCAGATCGTACACTGGAGGCGGTGGTGTTTCTTTGAGAGAAATACGCCACAGTGTATTGGTAAATTCTGCACTTCATTCTGAACGATTTAGCGTCCCTAACAGTGCGCCGCCGCCGTCGGCGGAGACGAAATTGAGCTATTAACGATAAGACTAAATAACTACCTGCAGTAGCATTTTTGGATTGCCTCTCCTTATTTGACACCGCTTTGCAAATAAAACCGTTCACTGAATCATCAAGGCAGATCTGCGAGGAACTTTATGGGCAACAGGGGAGCCTGTGATGAATTTTTCGGTTTCTTTCCATCGTGCCAGCACTTATAATCCCCTCGCCGTGTCATAGGAAGATGAATTGAGTCTTGCTTTTCCCCGAAGACCAAATTAAGACAGTTGCTCCGTCTGTCACCGCGGCCTCTTTAAGGTCCTGCGGTGTCGCAGGACCTTGCAGGCGCAATCCGAGTCATCTCTTAGCTGCTGGTGTTGTTGGTGAGGCTGGTTTAACTAATGAGCCGAGACACAACAGCCTAATAATTTCTTCCACCACTCCACAATGGAGGGCTCATTAAAACATACAGAGAAATAGGCCACATGTTCTGATTAGGCCGCGGAGGCTCCTGCGCGCCTCTGTCACTTCGTGTAAAGCACGTGTGGGTTCTGGCTGTGCGTGTGTTAGGCGTCGGCGCGTGTTTGGAGATCAGATGAATCCCTGTAGGGGGAGAAGCGACGCAGGATTGTTTCTAAGCGAGCGGATGTTAAGGAAGGAAAAACCGGGAAGAGATGAACGTTTTCAACCCCAATCTGTCTGTCGTCTGTTTCTCCTTTTTTTTTTTTTTTATATTGCTGCTATGTCAGTCTGGTTTCTGTTGCTGCCTTCCTGTCCCTCACCTTTCCTGGAAGCCAAACACGTAGAGACAAGCACACGGAAACTAACAGACAGGGTCCTCTGCTGCAGTCACTGCTGATTGTTAGTCTTTCCAGGCTTTGTTCGCCTT